ACTTGTCAAGTGTGTGTTTACATTCAGAGGTTTTGGCACCTGATTCCTTCACACGACTTGTGAACGTACAGATGCTGTGAGAAGGTGAGACAGCTTTCATCTCTGATACATGGGAGGGAGAAAACAGAGAGAAGCTGAGCAAGTGAAGGTAAAACAGTCTGACTTGTAGTGTAGGGCGTGTGAGGGCACGTCGCTTTTTGGAGCAGTGTGATGGCGGTGGCTGGGAGGGTGTCGTGGTTTAGAAAGGCCACGGGGACAGTCCTTTGTTAAACCCCTGGGGGGCTGAGGCAGGGACAGGGAGGGTCTCACTCCCTCAGGGGAGGGCTCCTCACAGTCTGTCCCGGCTGCAGCGTGGGGTCCCTTCTCACGGGAGAGTCCTTCTCAAACTGCTCTGGCATGAGTCCTTTTCCACGTGGGCCACAGTCCCCCGACGACTGCCCGGCTCTGTCGTGAGCTTCTGGTTCCTGCGTGGAGTCCTCCACGGCTGCATCTTCTTATGGGCTGCTCCAAGGGAGAAACCCTGTGGCACCATGAATCCTCACCACGCTGCAGGAGAAATTCCGGGGGTGATTCTCTCCTTCTTGCCTCCCTTTTCCGACCGGAGTGTCGTGTGGTCCTTCCCCTCAAAAATCTTGCTTCTCTCCGCCACAGGTCTTCATGGGCTTCTGAGGAAACTGACTCTTGGGCGAGCCATGGCGGAGGCTTGGGCTGCAGCAGGTCGGCTCCAAGAAGCCGGGCAGGTGGCTGGGCAGCCGGGCTGATCCGCCCGAGCCGGGCCCTGCCCAGGGGAGTGGGGGTGAGCCCTGAGCAGTCACTGACAGGGGCCACTGCAGCCCCTCCCTTGCTGTTGGCAGAGCTGGAGTCCAGGGAAACCTTCAGCAGCTGCTTACAGGAGCCATCGCTGTGGCCTCTCCCTGCTACCAGACAAACCCAGCACAGGGGGCAAGGTGTGGGGCTTGGCCCGCAAGCAGGGCAAGGCCCAAAGGCTGCTGGTTAAACTGCTCGCCCCTGAGCAGTGACATCTCTGAAGCACAGTCACATAACAGCAGCCTAGTAGTAGGTCAGTGTGCCTTTCAAGGTGCGGAGTTGTGGGTATCCTCTTGCTGGTTGCTCTGGAGATTAGTCCAGAGGATGCATATAGTGGTAAAATATCCTCCAGCATTCCCCTGCGCATGCTGTGTTGTCCGAGCCTCCAGGCTTTTCATTGTCTCATGCAGATCAATAGACTTATCCGTTGAATCCTAGACTCATGGAATTTAAAGGCCACAAGGGACCTTGTCCAACCCCCCTGCAGTGAGCTGGGACATCTTCAACTAGAGCCGGGTTGCTCAGAGCCCCAGCCAACCTGACCTTGGCTGTGGGGTTTTTGTTTTTACCTTGAGTAGCTTAATTAGTATTTCTTCTTTATAATATGGACGGGATAATATTTGTGTTCTTCTTTTGTTTTCTATTCTAATAAAGCAGCACTGAGATTTGGATTTGAGAGGACTTAATTATCAGATGGGGAGATTGACACTGAGGAATGAAGAGCTGTGCTGCCTCATCTTTTTTCAAGATATTGGATTATTTGCATATTAAAATACAAAGTGAATATTGAGATGAATAAGGATATGGGGAAGGAGGAGGAGTAATAAATTTAAATAAACTTCACATACCACCAAACACTTTCTAAGAAAAGCATTGCATTTTCATGTACTGATGTTTATTTAAAAAAAAATTGTGTTTGAACAGAAACTTCTATTAAATTTTTTTAGTATATATTTTTTCAGTTTAATTTATCTTTAATAGGTGAATTCAAAGGCAAAGCTACAGCTGTGTCCTTCTTTTTCAAACCAGGAAAAGCCTGAGTTTATTCACCTCGCCACGGACAGCTAGCTAGCATTCAAGGAGGTTTGTTGGGTGATGCCAGCAGAGAGTGTTTTCCTCGCAGCGGGTTTCCAAAGGCTGGGAACACCTTTGGATATTTCGGAAGGCACACCACGTGCTGATCCCCATGTTGCTGTTGGAGCTCTGCTGCTGGCTTCCGTGAGCAGCATCCCTCATCCATTATGGGATACCTGCACCTCCCCGTCTCATTTTGAGGAAGCTCTGTGCTGGCAAGATGCAGCCAGACTGCCTCGTTGATGAAATATTCTTTTCTGTTGACCTTTCAGCGGTAGCCTGTTCACCAATTTACACAGATTTTGTTAAACCTGTGTTAGATGCAGTTCTTTGTGAGAAGGGCTTTCCCTTCAGGCATGACCGGGGAAGATTGCTTCAATGTCGTAGTTAAACTCTGTGCTGGTGGGCAGCTTACAGAACTTCCTGAGATGGGTTTTTACAGGTTACAGCTGCTCGGTGGCTAACCCCAAAGAACTGTTTATTTCTGTCTTCTGCTTACTGTCTCAAGTTCTTGCATGATGGATTGCTATTTAAATCTGACTCTTAGGAGTAGGCAAAGTTATGTATGTAATAGCAAGCATATAAACTTTATTTTAATGTAGCAGTTTGATTGACTCTGTGCCTTGCTTGAACGAGCTCTGTTCCCTGAAAGATTTGGCTCTGTGACTGTCTTTCTGCCATAGCTGCTCCCAGTTTCTGAGTGAAGACTCGGGAATGCAGTCAGCTATACATATCCGTATCACTGCAGGGGAGCTTGAAATGCAAGGTCGTGGTCTCTGGAGGCTTCTAACAAATCACAATGACAAGTAGGAGCAAAACATCATATTAACACAAAGGTGTGTTTTCTGGGTGTATTCTCAGGCATTTAAAAAAAAAAGGGGGGGGGGGGCGGTTGGAAAGAGAAGTTCCCAGTGTTAAGGGCTGGTGATCCTCTCTCAGGCAGCTATGTCTTATGGAACCTATAATGTAGCTTCCTAACAGTAAATAAATTTAATAACTGTATGTGGTGGAATAGCTATGAATTTCTCTTTGGACTATGACTTGTGGAGCATTCAGCCAAGGCTACAGAGTGGAATGGTCATATGAATGGAAAAACTAGTGACCCAGTTGATTATTTTCTTCAGATGGCTCTGCAACCTCATTGCTATTACTTTATTTCCCCCCTTCTTTTCTTTTTTTTCTGGCAGATTAATCACAACTATTGAGGGAGTCTCCTCCCAAGCATTATAAATGCTGCAGCATTGTGGCCACTGCTAAAAAATTTGAACTTGTAGGCGGTCTTTCTCTGAAACAGTACCTTTCAGATACTGTGTCTTTTATTTTTTGTCTACTATAGCAACAGGTTTAACAAGATATTCTTCCTTATAAAGATTGGTTCCAACCCTCTAACTTTTTGGAGGCCTTTTCCTTCTGTTGAGGAAATGGTTTTGTTTTGGTTTTTTGTTTTTATGGTGGCACATAATACGCTGTAGTGGCATTCGAACTGCCCAGGGGCTGTGCTGGGGCTGCCAGGTCTGTGGGACTAGTCATCTTGACTTTGCAGTTTTCCCTAAGGGAAAACACAATCGTCAGGTTTATTGTATAGTGACAGATGTTTAATTTGTAAATGTCACAGGAACTTCAAGGACTCTGTGTTTGGCATACAGTGTTTCAAATACTGGTTTTACATGAGAAGACAGCTGTGATGTATGGCTAGAGTTGCGGCAGTTTTGCTTGCTTTCTGGTTTTGAATTCTCTTGGAGAAGATGGCCCTTAACCCTTTGCTAGTAATCTGTTCCAGTTGAGGTGATACACTTTCATGTCATACTGTGAGTTATGTAAAAAAACTTGGTGATACAGAGTTTGTAACTTTCAAATATGTAGACACATTGCATCCCATGTGTACCTTGGCTAGGCATCAGAGCTAGTCAGTTTGACGTCCCTTTAGAATTATATAGAGGAAGTCACCTTTAAAGTTAGCAAGAATAAAATAGCTTGTGTTCCTAATGTTCTGAAATGTCCTAAAAGTCCAGATTGGGTGCACTCAACTTCAGACATATAACAGACACATCTAAGCCATAAGCATCGTTGTCAGACTGAGTAATTAGTGGAGTGATGCATTTTTGAAGGGTTCACACAGGCTAAAGCTTGAAAGGCCCAGCAGCAGTGATTTCTTTTTTTGCTGGCAGTAGAAGGAGCATAGAAATCCTGGTCTCCTAATGGAACTGAGGTGCTAAAAGTAAATGGGACAAAGTTATTTAAGTTCTTCAGTTGCTTTACAGCTCTCCTGTAAGCCATGTTTGCGGTGGTAGTAAGCTGGTATGGTATGGGTGGGTTAAGGTAGGTTGATCCATATTTCCCCAGTAGTTCTTCCTGCCAGATTATGAGATGTTTTGTAACGTGAGATATCATTCCATAGTGTTTTGTGCTAACTGCGTCTTTTTGTGGTCCAAAAATATCTTGTTACTGCAGTCACGATGACGTTGTATTGGGTTTTGCAGAATGTTCTTCCATTCAGCAGATTGGGACTCTGTGCTCTGCTACAGGACCAAACTCTGTTTGGCATACTGAAATGCCCTCTAATCCAGAATAAAATTCATTTAAGTTAGGCAGCAAGTGTCAATAGGATTAAATGCAACCCTTGACTGCTGTTTATGAATGTTCTTCATGGGCCTTCTTAGGTCCTTAGCCCAACCTACCCTAAAGACTGATATGGAATGTTAGTAATATGTTTGTAAAAGAACATTCATCTGGCAGTTGTGTAATGGTTAGATCCTGTTGAGCTGCTTAAATTGCTAGTTGTAACTCAGCGCCAGAAGCAGGAATACGTACTGGGATTCCTACTCCCCCAAGTCGTACCACAGTCTGCAAGATATTTGTTGATAAAATATCTGTACATTTCCATCTGCACCTGCTGATCTGTATAAATCGGACGTTAGACCCCTGCTACATGTGTGTACTGCATGGTTCTCCAATGCCAAATGTTCTGCTTGTAGTCTTTGAAGCAGCTGCATTTAGCTTTTGATTTTAAAAAACCTGTGTTTTGTACTGTGATGTTCAGTAGGAGGAGCTCCAGCTAAAGAAACAGTCTAGCTGTGGTGTGGTAAAAGTCTAGATTGTGGCTTTCCATTGCTTGTCACATGACGGTAATAGCTTGTGAATTGCTGAAAAATGGCAAATTCATCCACTTTTATCTGGAGGTGAAGAGAGGAAGAAAAGGAACGAGCAAACCTGTAATTTTCCTGAGTGTCACAGTTACTGTATCTGATAAGTTAATACAACTACTTTTCTTGTCTTATCACAGATAAATTCTGAAGAGCGTGTTGATACAGCTGATCAGGAGACGGTCTCTTGGGATCGCAGTATTCCTGAAGACATAAAACAAAAAATCCAGCCTAAAGAGGTTCCAGCAGAAAGCGTTACTGTTTGGATCGACCCGCTAGATGCTACGCAAGAATACACAGGTAGCTGATTCTTGTTGACAAATCATGTGTGTAATTCTGATGTCTGCGTTTTATACTGGAGACATAATAGTAAGTATTTAAAATGGCATCTCTCGTTAAAGTGTGTTACATCAAAGCTAGTGGGATTAACTTGAACAGATAACTATAGTTATCAGACCATAGCATAGCAGGCTTGCTCTGGACCATGCTACCCCACCCACCTTTCTTCCACGTGCTGTGCCCATCTTAAATCTGTTATCACAGGTGCAGCCACTACTGCTCAGCATTTGCCAGAGTCGGGTCCCACTTACAGTCAGGGAAGCTTTTAGCAGCTTCTCACGGGAGCCACCACTGTAGCCCCTTCCCCTGCTACCAAAACCTTGCCACACAAACCCAGTGCACCAACTCTGGTGTGACTTTGCTATTTCTTGCCACTAAGTAATTGCCAAAATTAATGGTAACTGTCATTTATGGATTCTGCTGGAATTATGCATTTCTTTATTTCAGGTATTACTGTGGCAAACTAAATATCTCAGAATATTTTTGTTTGTTTATTTAAAGGGAATACTAAATAAATATTCTACTTAACTTGATATAAAAATATCGGTTTTATAGTTTTTTTCAAAAAAGCGTGTATAATTCAGTCTTCCCCTCTTTCAAGTATTTTAAGATGTTGCATAAGCAGTTCGAGGCAATCCAACTGAAATTCCTGCTGATGAGTACTGCAGGACAAACAGAAACATGGGGATTTTTTTGGTGAATATTCCATTGATACAGTCACCTTTTCAGGTGAATGCTCTTTGGTATTTGAATTGTCAGCTTTGAACCAATAGAGCTCAGGAGGTTGGGCAGAGAAAGGAGAATGTAGGGTCACAGTTTTCCACTCAAATAGATGGTGCATAGGACACAACTGTTAGCATTAGATCTGGTAGGAGTATAGGTTACATCTACTGAACAGGAAAAATTGCTGGAAACCTGAAAAATCTTTCAAGTTTTTTGAAAACTGCAAGGTTGTTTGAAGGTACAACGAAGTTGCATAATTGTAAGAGGCAGAACGTAGACAGCATTTCTATAATGTCAAGTCTGCTTTCTTTTTGTGTTCCTGCCATCTGTCTGTAAGCTTGTTTGCTTTCTCGTTTTGCCTGCAGAGGATCTTCGACAGTATGTCACGACAATGGTTTGTGTTGCTGTAAATGGTAAACCAGTAATAGGAGTGATACACAAGCCGTTCTCAGCATATACAGGTACCTTTATGCCTTCACATATCTCCAGCGTCTTCAGTCATAGTGTTAATTAAAATTTGACGATTGAGAGCACATCTGTAGGTATAAATGAGAAAATAGTACCTGGGGCAAAAGAGCACTGCTGCAGACCTCAGAATTAGAGCTGCAGATGTGTTCTGTGCTATAAAACCACAAAACAAAATGCTGCCCTCGTTTAACATAAAAATGATGCATTTGAAACGAACTAACTGAAAATATGTTTAAGAATTAAGATGCTTTCAGTCAGAGTGCTTACAGCAAACTGAAGAAAGTGAAGCCTACGCATACTGACTCATCTTATGTGCTGTTAGTCTTTCGCAGAAGAGTATTTTGCTCATTCAGCAGAAGTACTTAGCGCTGTGGTGTTATACCCAGGAGCTGGTGTTTATTCAGTGTGAGTAACAAAGATAGATTAAAGATCTCAGTGGAAACTGTTTGTATGTAACAGGCAAGACTGTGTAGCCTTACTGATTATCCAACATGCTTTTAATGCCACAACACTGAACTAGTTAATTCTTTAGCAGTAATGGTGTATCAGTGAGGATGGCTGCAGGTTTGGCAATGTGTATGCACTTCTGAAAGCTTCAAAGTACTTTTCGTATTTGTGTCTTACCTGCTCTATGTTTGAAACAAGAATTTCTCCTCTCATTTTCCCTTAGGCAATACTGACCTCTAGAGTTAGGAAGTTATGCAGTAGCTCTGTTGCAGAAACTAAGACTGAATATATGTATTTTTTTATTTGTTCTCTTTTATTGCCCACTGAACACTCAATATTTAGTGCTAAATGTGTTACTGTCTTTAAATATGAATTTAATTTCCATTTACTTATGTATGTGCTATATTCCAATATGCTTTAAGAGTCTTGGGGTTTTTTGGAACATATTTTTCGAAGTATCAACATCTATCTGAAGAAATATTTCTTTAGCACTATAATTTTGAGAATTTATCTACTTTAATGATAGCAAAGTGTGAAATATTCAGCATGGCATCAGATGAGATGCAATGAATTCTGTCGTTCTATGTGAAGAGTAATAATTTCCCAAGCTGGAAATACCACCATGTTGTGAGTAGAATTGTTCCTAATAGTACCACGTAAATACAGAGCAATAAAGGGCAGTCAGCATTGCTATTACATATAACTCTGTTGCCATACAATCTGGCCCTCTGCTGAGATGAAATTGCTGGTTAGTCCTTTATATAAATGTCAAATTAGTGGTTAGGGGATGCCACCTACCAAGCTTGGCTTTGAACTTTATGATAAAACAAGTGGGAGGCTGTGTATTCTAAATCCAGTCCTCCAAAACACACCATCGAGGTTTTCCTTAGTATCACTGTCCTCCTGAGCTATTTCCTTCCTCAGCGTTACTATCTTTCTGAACAAAGTGACTCAATAACATTTTTACTCTCTGCTTTGAAGGGTAACAGGGCTTTTTGTTTTTGTAAAAAGGTTGTTTTAGAAAATATGGGATCTATTTCTGACTCAGAGCCATCCTTTTAACTTCAGTGGCTTTCCAATTGCAAGTTCTAAGTATTACTAATTGGGATTCTTCCCTCTTACTCTGTTTTTTGGAAGTATCACATAAGAATAGTCAGGCATGGGATAATGCCATAGGCACAAAAGGGAGGCAGGGGGGCAACTTTCTTTTCCACATGTGGGCGTATGCCCCTTCCTTTTGTCAGCCCTAACTTTCTCTTTTACAGTAGGGAGGGAAGTCAAGTCAGAGGCATCAATTCCCTTTTCTCAAATAAGTATCCTTTTATCTTTACACTTGACTGAGATTGCCTTTTGTACATCTTAGCAGAATTTGTGTTTCTCTTGTAGCCTGGGCAATGGTGGATGGCGGATCAAATGTAAAAGCTCGTTCCTCCTACAATGAGAAAACGCCAAGGATTATTGTATCCCGCTCCCATGCAGGAAAAGTTGAGCAGGTGGCACGGCAGACGTTTGGCAATAAGACTGTGATAATCCCCGCTGGTGGAGCAGGTTTGGTTCCTTAAGCATCCTATCCATAGCATAGCTGTGATTAGACAGAAGGATATAACAGTGGTATCTCCTCTTTTTTCTCTTACCTTTTGTTGTTTGCATCCCTACAGACAAGCACTTAACCGTAGTTTCTCCTGCGTATAGAAAGCTACATGCAAACTTAGGTTGGGCTTCGGGCTGTTCACAAGTTGGTACGTTAGTGGATCTAAGCCTGGCTCAACGATGTTACAGTGATGCCTCTGTGAAGGAAAAAGGGTTGTGTGACCAAATACAGAAGCATGGAAGAGAATCCGTTGTTTGTTAGTTAACTGGTAGTATGTTTAATTAAGCAATGTTTTAAGAAAAAGCCATTAAAGTTTGGTAGTATTTCTTGCATTTATGTTAAAGGAGAAAACTACTGTCACTGAAGTCCATTTTTATCTGCCTCATATTCAGTCCAAAGAGGTGTTAGCTTACTTTTTGTAACCTTACACAATATCCTTGTGCGTGTTACTGGCAGAATGCAAATGTGTGAGCCACTAGTGTGAAGCAGTAGTGGTTTTAAAGTCTCAAAAAGCCATGTAAAATTTGAATTTTACAGAAATATATCTTTCAGTGTCTTTAATATGGAAAGCCAGAGCTCCCTTACAGATTTATTTTTTTTTTTAGTCAAGAAGATCTTGCATAGGTTCTTGACAATGAATCTAAACGAGTTTTCTTATGATAAAGGAAGCAAAAGTGTAACTGATTATAACAGATCTTCTCCAAGGCTTGATTCTGTATAAGAAGATAAAGAAAGGAACAGTTTAATGAAACAAGGATATTGGTTGAACAGCTGAAAAATTGAAAAAAATCCATAAAAGAAAGAATAGTATTTTGAGCAATAACTTTGTACTGCATAATGTATGGTAAAGGGCAATGCTTTGGGCTGGGTTGCTTTATTAAGGAGTGGTATATGCATTTTCCTTCTGTTGTAATCAAAAGCAGGGGAAGAAAGGTAGACTTCAGCATAACACAGAGACTGAGAAATAAGTGAGTGAACGTAAGAGCAAAACGATGTGTGAGTTTCTGGTATTGTTCTTTTACTGTGTCTCTAGGTCAGTGTCTGCAGCATATTGGTAAAGGATGTCTAAATATAATGTGTCCCAAATACCGAGGGCTTTAACTGGGGTGCCGTGGAAAAATCTTGGGGGTGGAGGTGTTCCTTTTTCAAATTTTCTCTACAGGTCAGAGGGCAGACAAAGTTTATGGTGCCTTTGGATGGCATGATATCATTAATGACACCACTTTCCTAAATCTTGCACGTGCACATTATTAACACTTACTAGTAGATTGATTCTTTATCATGAATAGGAAAGCTTGGTTTAACTTTTTGGGTTGTTTTAACTTCTGCTCCTTTCTTCTAGGGTATAAAGTGCTGGCCCTCCTTGACGTGGCTGAAAAGAATCAAGAAGAAGCAGATGTGTATATCCATGTCACTTACATTAAGAAGTGGGACATATGTGCTGGAAACGCAGTGTTGAGAGCATTAGGTGGCCATATGACTACACTGACTGGTGAAGAAATTAGTTACACTGGCTCGGACGGCAATGAGGGAGGACTTATAGCCAGTATCAACATAAACCATAAAGCACTAATTGAAAAACTTCCAGATCTGGAAAAAACATCACACAAATAAACTTGACTGATGGAGAAGTACAAGTCATGCTTTTGTAGCCTCCAAATGCTCTGTCTGAAGAAGCAGGTGTGAAAACCTGCTGGGAAAGATGCACAGCAAAGCAGAGCAGTTTGGTGTGGGTTTGGGGACTGGATCATGCGTTGGGTTTCCTGCGTGGTGGTATTTAAAAAAAAGAATAAAATAATAATAAGCATAAGTAGGAAGGGGACTGACTGCCTCACACCTCAGTTTCCATGGGGTTTTTTTTTCAGACTGTTTTCATGCAGTTCTTGTACTCAAGGTGCATATACAGTATGTATTTGTGAACATAGGTGAACTGAAGAAAAATACACATTGATTCATAAAATAACCTAAGTAGTTCTCACAGGAACTTCTTGGAACCTTTTACATCTTGTTACTGTAGTTGTAGCAACTCCATAATGAAATTAGATAGGAAAAAAAAGTTGATTTGTATAGGCATCTGATAACTCTGTAAACAATTTAGCAGGAAACATGACCCTGTGTTCTGTATCCCCTGAAGAGAAAGCACAAGGTTGACACAAATTTATATACAGCAACCGTTTATCTTTGCAAGTGTGGCACTCCTTCTGCTTTTTAAGAGGAAAAAAAGAAGTTCTGTACTTTTTTCCTGAAGATGTAAACCAGTTTAGTTCAGATAGGTTGTGCAATCAATGTTTTATTAATTAATGTAATTATTTCCCATATACCTTTTTAAAAGAAGGCAACGTTTCCTTGTATAGTTTTTAACAGTTACTTCTTGTCCTTGATTTCTGCGTACAGATGCATGCTAGATTTTTCTCTAATGTAGGATTTGTTCATCATTTGGTGTTTGTGCCTATAGAAGCAGCCTCTTCCTTCAGTACCTGCTTTTGGTTGGTTTTGTGGTTTGTTGGTTTTGTTTTGGTTTTTTTTTCTTTTTCCATTGGACAGAGTCGTATGGAATGAGTTTAACAGAAATAATAAGTTGATTGGTTGTTTCCATTTACAACATGAAATATAAACCAGCAATTTTTCTATAACCCCAGAAATAACTTTCAGTTTAGATGAAGGTGCGCTGTTTCCTGCAGAAAGTGCTCAAGCCATCCCAAACAGCTTGGGGTTGCTTGGTTTGTGGAAATTTACGTAGAGAAGAGATCATTCAAACTTGAATCTGTTTAAGCAAATGTGAAGAGCATATGGCGCTTGAAGTACAGCAGGGTCTGCAGAATTTTACTGAAAGATGTGCTTTGTCAATCCAGTATACATAGAACAGAACATGGGCCCTTTGATATCAAATGACAATTTCTTGCACCTCTAAAATATATTGACTTCTGTCTGCAAAAATGTAACCATCTGTGTTGTTCTCTGCACCCCTCTGAAGGGTTTCAGAAGGTTAAAATGTACCTGTTATTTGGATTATCAGTAGACAAGCTTCCCATATCCTCAAGAAAGCTAAAATTCTTAGTTAATACAGATGTTTTCAGTTCAAAGTTTATTCAGTATAAGCGTAGGCTGTTTAAACCCAATTCTTAATTACTTTCATTTTAACTTCTTTCAGCATGCTGCTGTCCTGATTAAAAAGAGGTTTTTCTACTTACGTCAGCAGTGGAGCATGTCTAGATACCTCTTTTGACTTCTAATTAATGTTCACATTTTGAGAAGACCTCCTCGGATGTTGCATAGCTACAGATAGAGACTTATTTTGTAAACTTACTGGCCAAGTAGACTGAAACTTAGTCCTACTAGCCTTTTGGTACGGGTAGTTTGTGGGGTTTTTTTAGATAACTGTTTGTCCAAAATCGACACTATTGCTGCTGTTTGAAAATAGCTTTTACACATGTAGATAATACACAAAGCAACTGAACTTCCGGTTTTTAAATTTAATAAACTACTATATGCTGTGACAAATAAGTGAATATGCCCTTTTTGAAAAGGGGTTGGTCTATTTTGAAAAACTTCTTGAGCTTCCAAACCTCTTTGAAGAATAAAAATCCAGATATTTATCAAGGCTTTAATAATATTTTACAAGATGACTGTAGCTTTTTTCCTTCACGCTGATTTAAATGACTTAAAGCCTAATAAAAAAGCAGCTCTTTTGTTTATTAAAGATCACAAATTAAAATTTAAATACGAGAAATAGCCATAATTAGCCTAGTGTTAAAATCTAATTGTGTCACAGAGGTTGAATGCACAATATTTAAATGGGCAATTTAAGGCAAAGTCTGTGGCAGGTAGTGATTTTAGCTTCAGGTTGAAATCATGTGTAAACTTACCTTGTGACTGCTTCTGTTCTGGATACAATTCTGTGATTTCCTTGCGTAAGCTGTGATCAGACTTAGCTTCTGTATGTGAAATGAAAAATAAGATGTTACACATTGTACAAGGGCTGGCTTGCATCTTAATTGAAGGTATAGAGCACTAAACAGAGGTATTTGCCTAAATTATTTTTCCTTGGGAAGATAAGGCACAAAGAAGAGCTTCAGCCCTCCTCTCCTTCCTCCCGTATGCTGGCTAAGGTACCGAGTCTTCCTTTAGGAAGACATGCTTGTTTAGACCCGTTTGTACCTAAATTGCTTTGTTGCAATGGATCTCAGTGATCAATACCTTTCGTTGTGGACCCTTATTGGCCCAATCTTCTTGTGAAAATGAAGAAAAGGTGAGAGTGAGGTTCCCAGTTAATGACTTCTGGTATGGCCTGCACTCATACTGGTGAACATCAGTTTCTGGTGCCATTTTACAGTCAACGCAACTCTTACGCAGGCCAGCAGGTGTTCAGAAGTGCTTGCTTAGTGCACATGTGCCTGTGCAGTTCCGTATTTGTTTGTATAGTGTTAACACTCAGTCTATCCCATTTCTTTGACTATGTTTACACTCCATTCTAAAACGTTTTGCTATTCTGGCTCGAGTACTTGTTTGATCTCAGCTGCATGGATGTGACTTCAGCTTATGCCCAGAGTAGTAGGACACAAACTGCTGGGCTAGAATATTGTTCTTTACATTTTAGCCTTTTCCAAATAAAACTGTCATACAGTTTTTAGGGATGCTACTTAAAACAATTGCATGGTGTAGGTGGGTCCTACAAAGGTATGTCTTTTCTAAAAATTTTAATTAAAAAATTCATTATAATTCTCACTCAAAACAAGGGAAGAAAGAGAATGTATTGTTTTAGCATTGGTTTTCCAACAGTGGGGTTTTTTTTGTTTGGGTGTTATGATTAAGGTAATTGCAAGTGAAATTATTCTAAAGCTGTATGTATTTCCTCTTTTTCATTCTTCTAAAAGAGTGGATGGTAGCATAGGTGATACCTCTTAATGTACCAAGAGCCCTAACTTGCATTCCTTGAATTAATGTTTTCTAAATAAATGGACACAAATAAAAGGGTTGAATATTGTTATTGGTTTTGAGTTTAACCTGTTTACCAGACATTTACAGATGGATTTATAGAAGTGTTGATTGTTCTGATCTACAGACCATGGAATAATAATCAAAATAGCCAAGATAGCTTGCTCGGATGGTGAATTAACCATATAGGTGAAGCTGAGAGGTCATCTAGCGATGATGTCTCATAGGCTTGGTTTTTCCAGTCATTAGAGTGGACAGATTTTCTGATTGGCTTCAGGTGCGAGAAGATGTTTTTTAAATAGTGGTTGGAGATCAGAGGTATGTAGGAGAGTCAGCACTGGAGTTCATCTCTGCTTTTTTTTTTAGAAACAAATGTACCCCACCATCTTTGTAGCATCCTCTCGTCGGTCAGAGTTGTAGGACAGCGGTGCAGCGCTGTACACTCCTTTGGAAAACCAGGAGTCCGCCCCAGAAAGCCTGGATGGATGGCTTCCTTTCAGGCCACTAATGCTGAGCCTTTCTTCAATGCTTTGTCGTAGAGATTTAGACCTTTTCACACTAACAATTGGAGATTTCGCTTTACCAAAATGTCATTCCTAGTCCGTCTCCTGACCTGCTATCCTCAGTGGTAATTCTGTGCTCTGTCCAATTCACTGCAAGTGTAACTTGCTGAGACAAAACTATAGTAGCTCAGAGGACACAAGGATCGCTTGACTTTTGAACCACACCTCCTGTCTGGTAGCTCTTATAGCTCGTAGGTCATACCGAGGAGCTGCTGAAGCCTTATACTTCATGGTTTTCAGATGCCACACCAGCTCTTCCAGCTCCTCAGAGAGGTCCAGAAGTGCTCATCCGGTTGCCCTCTGGTGCTCCCTCTGGAGCCAGTAATGAACAGCCACTTTTCCTCATCTTTCTGTTCCTTCCTGGTCATTGCTCCTTTCTTTAGTCCATGGGGGCAAACTAATGAGAGATGGGAGGAGGAGACAGCCTCAGAAGGAGAAGGCCCCAGCAGCAAGCTATCCGGTTTATCTGGAAGGTGTCAATGTTTGGGTCCAAGGTCTAAGGTGCTGATCCCACCGAAAGTGTGACAGATCCCAACAAAATAAAGGCAATTTGAAGAGAGCTTTGTGTGGTTGGTGGTAATGATCCTGCCGAAAAGATGCAGGTGGACTAAGGAGAAGTTAAACTGTCGTAAAAATGAGAAGAAAAGCACTTTTCAGTGTCATGTCACAAGCATTCAGCATTTCTGTTCCTCTGGGCGCACAGCTTCGTTCCTGATGAAGGAAGCTCCCTTGGCCCTCTGCGAAAGGCCTGATTTTGTTGAAGTCAGTAGCAGCATTCCCACTGAATTCAGTGTGAGCAGAAGCAAGCCAGAGAAAACACAAACAGTAAATTAATCTAAGTTCTGAAGAGCTTGGCTTCTGCCAAGAGAGCAAACAACCTGGGTTGTGTTAGGCTCGCCTCTGGCTGATTCAGTCTACCTTCCTTGAGAACTTGGAAACATCGTCCCAGTGCCTCGAGGTTCTAAGCCTTTCAGGTTTTTTTTTTGTGGTCTACAGCTGATAGAGCCCACTTTCAGATAATATTGTTCCTTATTTGTTGTTCACATTTCTTTTTTTCTTCCCAAAGGACCGGCAACACTTCAGCATTTTTCCTGTTGTCCCACCAAGTTGTATTAGCGTTTTCCAATTGTGTGCCAAATGGAAATAATTCTATAAATAAACTCCCTGAAAGTACTGGTAACTGTGAGGTTGTTTTCCTCTGTCTTCTCTTTCTGTTGGGTATTTATTCTTTCTGTGTGCACCAGATATTTTTTTTTCTTTCTCCAGTAATGTGTGTCAGGCTGCTTCAGCTGTCCTGTGTCCATCCTGTGTCTATGGCTTTCTGCTTGAGGGATTGTCCTTATTGACACATCCAGCCGTGTTCATGATAAATATAATTAAAAATCTCCACTGGTTTTGCTCTCGTAGGTATGTTTTATTGTGAAGGTTGGTGGATTTGTGTGATGGAAAATTAGAAATCTCCCACACGGTATTGTTCCTTGGATCTGAAGAAATTTTCCATCCAACATAGTCTCCAGGACTCTTCCTAATTATGTTATTTCATTCTCTTGTTTCTGGCAGAATAGTAGTAGTAGAGTAGTAACTGTACCATTACCA